GAAAAGGGATGAAGCAGGCTGACCTGGGGCAAATCACTGACCCACCCTGGGCCTTGGTTGCCCAATCTGTAAAGTAAGAATAAGACACCCTGCCCTGCTGCCTCTGGGGCAGTAGTCAGGCCTACCTTGACGCCTTGCAGGGCCCAGGGCAAGTTACAAATGGAGGCCCATAAAAGCATATGTCATAGTATCCAAAAGTTATAAATCAAGCTAATAAACCACCAAAATATGCTTTATCCTCTGACCCTGACAAATCTATTGGACTTCAGAACTCTTGGATGCCTCAGAGTTCCACAGCACAGCCTGGACAAAGGCTTCCCCTGTTGCCATCTTCTCAACCCACGAAGGGCCTTGCACACATGCTCATGTGTAACCCAGCCTGCAAGTGCTCACCCTACACACACACACACACACACGCCTGCCAGTGGGCCCTGGGGTGTGTGCGCCAGCAGCACCGACCTCTCTCTAGAGGAGGAACTGAGGAAAGAGGCTTGGTCATGAAACCAGGGCTGTTTGGGCTGGAAACTACAGGGTCCTGGGTACGCTCAGAGTCGTCTGGAAGAGCAAGCAGTCCACTGACTTCACAGACTCCCACTGTGGTCAAGTGGACATCCATAGGAGGCCACAGAGGGATCAGGCAAGAACCCATTTTGCATGAGTCTAATAGCAACTGTAGACATGGTACAAGTGACATACACAATATGGGCCAATTCTTTAAAATATACGGAACACCTTCCAGTCCATGAGGGGAAAAAAAAAAAAAACAGCTCCTCCATAGAGAATAAAGAGATCTCATATAAAAAAAAATAGGAATAACTCCTAAGATGAAAAGGCCAAAAGTTTGGGAGCACATTTTGTCGACACGAATGCGAGAGGCAGTTACTCTGATCCCACTGCTGGTGGGAGAGGAGGTGGGATGGGCTCTTGGAAGCAGCTTGGAAACTATTATAGAGACTAAAAATACATACACTCTTTGACCCAGCAATTCTACCATCTAGTTGCAGAATCTCAATAAATACTTCAACAGGAAGGACTATTCATCACAGCATTTTTTAATAGCAAAATATTGGAAGCAACCTAAAAGTCCACCAATGCCAAACTAGTTCGCTCAACAATGTCTTCCCATGCAACAGAATAGTGTGGAGCAGATCTGTGTGAGCCCAGACATGCAATGGCCTCCAACATTCATCGCAAAGTCATAAAAAGAAGAATGGCCCAGACGGTGGTGCTGTGCCGAGGTTTTTTGCCGAAAGAAAAAAACACATATACAAGGGAATTTGAGAAAGTCTATGGAAAATGGAATTAAAAGACAGGTTTATTTTGATGCCAAAAAAAAAAAAAAAAAAAGAAGCAAAAATTCACACTTAGGAGAAGTCTTCGAACACTGGATGGGAAATGCGTATCGTGGAAAAACTAAGCATGGATTTCAAAATTTTATGCTCTAGTGAACTTATCTTTTATTTCCATTTTCCATGACCTTTTCAAAGTCCCTCTGTGGATTTAGGTTTAATGTGCAGGATTCTCTGCATCTGGGAGGGGTACTATCCAGCTGACACAGTGAGACGCAGGAGACAGACTTTTTTATTATTTACTTTTATGCCTTTTGAATTTTGCACCACGTATATATTTGACTTACTACAAAATATTCAAATAATAAAAAATGAAAAGCTTGGTACAGACTCTGCTTGCCTCTTTCTTAATGGCATATATTTTTATACCTTATGTCACCATGATTTAGATAGCTTTTTACATTGCCTTCTATATTTTATGATTTGTGAGGGCAGAATTCATGTCAAATGATACCTAATTCTTTGTGCATTTATTATATGCCAAGTTCCCTTCTTAACACCTCAAATGCAGTATCTCACCTATTTCTCCATGACGGCCTCTGACATGCAGGCTATTATCCCCATTTCACAGCTGGGGAACCTAAGGCTCAGGCAGGATGATGAAAACTTTCCCAAAGCCACTGAGCTGCAAGATGGGGAAACTGCCTGATTCCAGAACTGGCTGACTCCATTTCTGGCTGACTTCAAGATCGCCTTGACCACTACGCATAGTAGCTCATTGTTTCTATTCCCCTCACCATGCCGACACACACTCACACATAGGACCGGGAACTTCGGGAGAACTCAATGACCGCTTGTTCAATGGATGAGTGAGTGAGTGAGTGAGTGAAGGAACTACTACACCAACAGGGATCCTGCATCTGCTCCTTCCAGGTCGTATGCATGCTGTTCCCAGATTTAGGGAGGGTGGAGAAGCATGGCCTCCTTATAAATCACCGTTAAGTTTCCTTTCCCCATTTCTGTCTGGAGAAGGAGTTGACCAACTAAGGAAGATGAAGGGGCTGGTGGTTTTGCACCAAAGACATTTGTTAAGCAAAGATGCTGGGCTTGGCCAAGAGCCTGAGGGCCTAATCCGTCACCTCTGCATAAAACATTGCTCACCTCTCGAAGTTCAGAAATGTCAAAGAACAGAATGCATGGGCTCTGGCCACACAGAGCCTGTGGGCTCCCTCCGCAGCAGGTCAGCTTGTGCAGTCCGAGAGCTAAGCAGCAGCAAATCACATATAGGATCTCCCTGTGCAAGCAAAGCAACACACGTTGCTGGTCCCCTCCCCCAAAAAGCAGCAGGCGTCCTCATGTGTCTGATGGGTTTCCAGACTCAACACAAAGCGCACTTAGGGCTTCCGCGAGGCGATCTGAACTAAGCCTGTGATCCTTACACACAACTCTGTCTCCTCATCTTGCATGATTTATGTGGGGTTTAAATAATAAATGACATGGATGCTGTAGAATTCATGGTGCTCCAAGTAGGTCATTAAATAAATCACTGTATAATTTATATAAATGAACCTAAATCATGTAGTAGGAGGATTTCATTAGGAAATCAATCCCGTGTGTGGATAAACACGAGGACTGGCGGGAACAGGGGTGTTTTTGAGAAGTCCCTGTGTCCGTGACCTCACATGAATGTGCTCTGGGCTGGGGGGCATTTCACCCCGGCCACCCACTTAGCCACGGGCTCAAGCTTGCAGTCCCCAAGAAGGCCTCCTCCTCCAACTCTGAGTCCCTGAGCTGGCTCATCCAGCAGGCATCCGTCCCCAACAGGAACTCAGATACCTCCCGCCATCTCCATAGCAGAGGCTTGTTGCATTTTCAGTGAGGAAACCCACGGGGCTCTCCTGCCAATTACCAGCCCAGGCTGACCTTGAACACAGGCCAAAAAAGCAGCCCAAGTGTGTTTGGCTGGCAGGACTGTTCACCTTGCCGTGGGCAGACATCTGCCTGACGCTACCGCCAATCAGCGGATGCCCACCCCAGCCTCCGTGCAGAATCCCTCCCAGCCTGCGTGGGGAGACACAAAGGGGCAAGTCTGACTCGGGGAGCTTAAACCCCTCGGCCTCCTCTCCAGGCTCACCCTAGGACAAGGGATGCCCAGGACCTCCAGCCCAGCCCAGAAAGCACGTTAGGAAGAGCAGCCTGTGGCAGCTCTACCAGCCAGGGGTGGGAGGCCTGCAGGCCGATCCTATTGAATGCAGGGATGTCTTAGCAAGAGGGAATTTGAGCAAGAGGGGGGCTGTGTTTTTGAAACCACACTTGCGAAAGGTCAGTGAGGTCAAGTTCACCTAGATGCAGATGAGAAGCTGACCTAACAAGTTCTTCAAACGTTACAGGCTCTGGGAGGCTCCTCAGAACCTTCTGGGCACTTGGGCAGCAAGGCAAGCTGAGGGAGTCAGGAGGTGACAGACACAGGAGCATCCAGCACGTTTCAGTCCCTCTGAGAATGGCAGTGACTCTGACCCCGCCAACACCTGAGTGCCAGAACCTCTTGGCTGGCACACTGTGAACACTGCAGGTCCAGGGGTCAAGATGGCTCTTTAGGGGCCAGGGTGCAGAGAGCCTTGAAGACCACAAATCTGCCACCCCATGGCTTGGGGACCAGGCCCTTCTCACCCTCTGTACCTGTGGGTCACCTTTGCTCTAACATCCACGAGTTAAATGAATTCACTGTCCTTCTCTCTTCTCTGCTGGACTCAGTGGTACCGTGTCCACGATGTTCCTCTCCCACCCACTGTCTTCACCCCAAGCCAGCTCTCATCATCTCACATGTGAGGAACAGAAATACACCTGCAACACTGGGAGGAGCCTGAGAGTTCTATCCGTCTTGTGGCAGATGAAGAAACATAGGCTCGGAGAGGAAGTAATGGACCCAAGAGCACACAGCTGCTTAGAGGTAAAACTGGAGGCCTTTCCCTTACTGCACAGGCTACCTTCACAGCGGCAGCCCAACCCCTTATCCTTTCCCTTGTAAGCCCCTCCCACGGCACTTCTGGGGGCCCCACCCATCTCACTCACAAGCCTAGAAACCAGCAGTTGGCACACTCCCCTGGTTACAGTTTCCTGGATTAGGAATGTTCATCTGCTTCCGCCAGCCAGATTTCCTCTCCCAGTGTTTGGAACTAGGAATGAGGACATTCTAACTCCGTCTGAGTTAGTCTCTGGAAGATGGCTCTATGCTCACCCTGTGCTCCGAGGTGCAAAGGAAGGAGGCTACAGAGGAATGCAGACACAGAAAGGAGAGATGAGAAGGAGAGAAGACTGGTGGCTTTGTGACTCATCCCGGCCCTTCCCGTGGGCCCTAGCCCCTACTGGGCCACAAGGATGGCTTTAGGGTGAAATCTCAGGGGAAAAAAAAACTGAATTTGCCATGCAAATAACTTCAAAAGTCTCTTATCCTTGTAGGATTGTGCTCTGAGCTATCTCAATCTGGTTCCTGTTGCTTGCAATCAAAGAGTCTGAAGTAATTCACTACTCACCTCAAGCACCCCAATATGTGAAGGAGGATGTGTGCTGAGGATGTACACGAATGTTCTGAACTCCTGCCACGGAACACCATAGCTCCCCACCCAGCCTGAAACTCTCCTCCAACTTAAATTCACAGACATCATCTTTCTTGTCTTGACTGACCTCATCCCATCACCTCAGTGGGCTTACCCTCTCCTGTACAGGTTCTGCTTCTGCATCTTCACAAATGCCTTTGTGCCTTCTGCAATGCCCTGGACCTTCTCTCCGGCACTCTCTGTCCCTGAGTGGCTCCAAATTAACTTTCCCTGGAAAAGCTGTCCGGAAAAGCCTCATCCAACTCTAAACAGTTCCTCCAGTCCCAGCTCCACTCTGTTTCCTCTTCCTGTACGGAACAAGTCCATACAAGCACACTCCCAGTGACGTGAATTCTGTTACGTCTTGTCTGGTGTGAGGGCTGACTTCCCGCTGGTCTATAAGCCCGCTAGCAAGGCAGACAAGGCAGGCCCTCCCCACAGCATCCAGTGCAGTACTTTCTGCATGACAGACAATAAATGTAACTGCCTGACAGTCTTAAATGGGAAAAGTAATAGGCCAGCGTCCAAACTTGCTCCCTGTAGGCCTCTAACTGCCTCCCTGAAAGTGGCAGGTGTCAGGAGCTCCTCCAGGGCCTCCACCTGGTTCCAACCCCAAATTAAAATGTGTGGCTGCACGAATGACTCAGCCCTTTGGAACCTTCTGAGCAGGGATCAGGTGGGAGGCAGCGCTGAAGGCTGCAGGGCAGGATCTTGGAAGGAAAGACCCATCAGGGAAGGTGTGGGTGGGAATGCACACAACCAAACCCCTAAACCAGGAGGGGAGCTGCCTCAGGGGCACACAGCCCTGGGGGCACACGGCGGGATGGGAACCCCCAACCCAATTCCAAAGCTTCCCTGTAGTCTTCCTCCTCCAGAGGCTGCTTTTAGCATCATGATGAGTTGACTCTGTACTGATACCTCTTTCATATCCTACATTCCACCCGCCACTCTTAACTACTCTTTTCCAACACAGAAACAAGAAAAATCTGACTTCTCAGTCTACAATCATCCCTTGGTATCCATAAGGGATTGGATCCAAGACTCCGGCAGATACCAAAACCCATGAAAGTTCAAATCCCTTATATAAAATGGCATGGTATTTGCATATACATCCTCCTGTATACATCCTCCTGTATCCATCCATGCAAATCCTCCTGTATACTTTAAATCATCTCTAGATTACTCGTAGCACCTCACAGAATGAAAGCATTAGATAAAACAGCATTTACACAGTATCATTTAGGGAATGGTGGCAAGAGAAAAAGTCCATACATGTTCATTGCAGATGCATTTTTCCCCCAAATATTTTGGATTGGAAGTCAGTTGATCCATAACTGTGAGGTTCACAGATATGAAGGGCCCACTTTAATTGTCTCAAAAACTCTCTTGTTTTTAACCAAGAAAAGAAAATTAACATTGATCAGGGCTCCTACTATATGCTGAGTAGCATATCTCTCATCTCATGTAATCCTCACAATAATGCTGTTGGGCAAATTACCATTATTTCTATTTACAGAAGAGGAAACTGAGGCTCGGGGAGACGAAATATCTTGCCTAAAAATACTAAGTGTACATAAAACCATGCAATAGGAGGTGGCAGAGCTTGGGTTTGAATCCACTTTCTTTTCATGCTGAAGTCAGGTATTTTCCCAAAAACCTCCCTGCCTCCTGAGATAAGGCAGCAAAGCTCCAAGCCATGAAAAGCCTAGGTCCTTCCTGGATGACAGCAGGGCATGGACATCAGCAGAGGGCACTGTGTCACACTGCCGGAGAAACTGAGCAGAGGAAGAGTAAGATCTTGATAAACATTCCAAGACTCTGTCTCATTCAAAGTGCTCTGTCCACCCAGACCAAAGAGCACAAGTGAAGAACAATGGATTAGACAACAAAGCTTAGGAACTGACTTGAAGGTGACTATCTGCTTTCTGCAAGAAAGGGGAGAAGCGGATAGACCTCCTTTCCCACTATCACAAATTAATAAATGTGGATTACCATCCGTCATCGTCATTGTTAACTACCACTTATTAAGTGCTTGCTGTGTACTACATACTTAACTTGCATTATCTCACTTAGCCTTCACAACCACCCAAGGAAATGCATGTTAATACCCCCATCTTCAACAGAGGAGGAGACTAAAGGCAGACAGGGCTGCATCAACTTTCTCCAAGCCCACAGATGACTACATCCAGGACCTGAGTCCGTAGCATGATCACAGCAGGGGCTTTGCTGGTCATCACCTCGAGTGGCACTAGGTGCTGGCTCTGAGGTCTCACAGGCTCAAGGTGTGGGTACACCATGGAGGAACAGGAGAGTAGCCCCCCAGGGAGACTAGAAGAGAATGCCTGTAGGAATAGGAGGAATGATGAAGCATCAACCTCGGGCAGCCTGGGGGGAACCTAGCACAGCACAGACATTCTTTTTTTGTTTGTTTGTTTTGTTTTTTTGACAGGCAGAGTGGACAGTGAGAGAGAGAGACAGAGAGAAAGGTCTTCCTTTGCCGTTGGTTCACCCTCCAATGGCCGCCACGGCCGGCGTGCTGCGGCCGGCACATCGCGCTGATCCGAAGCCAGAAGCCAGGTGCTTCTCCTGGTCTCCCGTGTGGGTGCAGGGCCCAAGCACTTGGGCCACCCTTCACTGCACTCCCTGGCCACAGCAGAGAGCTGGCCTGGAAGAGGGGCAACCGGGACAGAATCCGGTGCCCCGAACAGGACTAGAAGACATTCATTCTTAAACTTGAGCCAACCGAGGACCAGCGCTGCCCAGGGGGAAAGAACCGACTCCTTTCACCGTGTAGCTGCAGCATCCTACTTTCACCCTGTTTTCCAACATTCCTGTTGAACAGTGACTCAACATGCCTGTGACCAGAGCCTTCTGAGAGCCATGACATTCTTGAGATTAAAATAAAACCTCTGCTTTAGGTTCCATTCCAATGCTATATAAAATGCTTCATCTCTACTGCTTTTTTGTTCGGGCTGTTATTTGGTAGGAAACCTAAATATAAAAGGACAAAGTTCTAAGATTTACATCTCCTTTTCAAGCCTGGGGAAGAATTGTTATTTTGGTGGAGAAGGCTTGTGGCAGCAGTTGATTGCAATGCTGGGTTCAGGCAAGTTTTGATAGCTGTGCTAATGCAGTCCATTTGCATTAGAAGACAAGCCTGTTAACCAGGGTAAGTGCTGATGACTGCATAGAAATTACAGAGTGAAACTTCAGTCTAGAAAATTGAAATTGTAATTGATCTCCATTTTCATATTCTGCTTGATATTGATGTAACATAATCATCATAAAAAACTCCACAAATAATGTGGATCATTTACAGTTTCAAATAACTGTGCTCGTGTTTTAAAAAATAAAACAGGTTTATGGCTCAGTAGTGCCTCCTCTTATCCACAGGGGATGTGTTCTAAGACCCCTAGTCAGTCCTACAAACCACAGATTGTACCTACACACCACAGATTGTACCAAACTCTATACATATTATGTCTTTCCTACATACACAGGCCTATGAAAGTTAAATTCCTATGATAGGAACAATAAGTGATTAGCAACAATAATAAAATGGGGCAATTATTAATAGGACAATAAAATAGGCCATTATTAAGTAAAATAATGGTTCCTTGAACACAAGCACTGTTTTACCATGCCAGTCAGCTGGATAAGCAAGACAGCTAAGGCACTAACAGGTGGACAGCACACACAGCATGAATACACTGGACAATGCAGTGATTCATGTACCAGCTGGGACAGAATGGGATGACTCAAGACTTCATCATGACACTCAGAATGTCATGTGATCTAAAACTTGGGAGTTGTTTATTTCTGGGATTTTCCATTTAATATTTTTAATCCCTGGGTAGCTGAAACCATGGAAAGCCAAACTTCAGGTAAAGGGAGGACTAGTGTATCGGGTGAGTGACTCCTTAATGTTAGGAAAATGGCACAGTCCTATCTATGGCGCAATCTACACCCTGACACCATCCTAGGCTCTGGCCCCCGCCACCATTGCTGGAAGCCAGCATGACACCCAATCACAGGTGTCACACCCCCACCCCTATCCTAATGGGATTTGATGCTCCTATTTCCTGCCCGCCCCCGGGGCGGGGGGGGGGGTTGAATTTTTTTTTTTTAATTTATTTGAGAGGTAGAGTTACAGACAGTGAGAGGGAGAGACAGAGAGAAAGGTCTTCCTTCTGTTGGTTCACTCCCCAAATGGCCGCAACAGCCAGAGCTACACTGACCTGAAGCCAGGAGCCAGGAGCTTCTTCCTGGTCTCCCATGGCCCAAGGACTTGGACCATCTTCTACTGCTTTCCCAGGCCACAGCAGAGAGCTGGACTGGAAGAGGAGCAGCTGGGACTAGAACCAGCGCCCATATGGGATGCCGGCGCCACAGGCAGAGGATTAACCTACTGCAACACCGCAAGCCCGCCCACCCCGCACCCCGCCCCCCGCCCACCGTGAAATTTTAAAAGGACCCGCTCCTGAACACGTGTCACTCTCTCTCTCTCATTCTCTCCGTCTCATCTCCTGATCGCTTGCTCTCTCTCTCTCTCTCTCTCTCTGGATCTCTCTTACGCTCTCCTTCTCCCTCTTTTCCTTCTTCGTCCCTTCCCTCCCGTCTGTTGGGTTTCCCCCAGTAGGCTCTTTCCCTTACTCTGGTGTTTGGTGTGCTTTGGGGCGGCCTTACACTTGAGTTCATGCAGAGAGGCAGAACGGTGCCAAGGGACGAGTCCAAACCTGGGACTGAGGCACCAGGGTTCCAGTGCCAGGTCAGCCACTTCCTGGGTCGTGCCTCAGAAGCTCTCCGTCTCTGCTCCACGGCAGTGATGAGAGTAACTACCTCTGTGGGAAATCCCTGGGGTCACGTGCAGAGGAATGCCTGGCAAAAGTAGAGCCTCCTGAACATAGTTCCCTCTCACTGGGTAGGTAGTACAGTCAGATTTTACCTGAGCCCTGTGCCCTGGAAAACACTGAGGGTTAAAAAGAGCCCGCCCTTTCGTGTTATAGGTAAGGGTGTATCTCAAACGTAAGACATGTGCAAGATGCTCTTGCTTATCAATGACAAGGCCACAAGCATATCTTCCAGCTTCCCGTTCTTTACCTCATAAATCAACAGTTACATGTTTTGTCCCCAGCAGTTCACTAAGGACAATCAGATCATTGGATCATTGGCCAAACCTCGTTGGCCAAACCTCTCTACTTCCTCCAGGCCCCTGAACTTTGGTCACTCTCAACCTGATTGAGCAGACAGCCCCTGAAAACAGGCTGACTTCAGGGTGAAGCTCTGACCCGGTCCTCTCATCCCACTTCCTCACACCAGTTCTTTT